CTTTCTTGGGGTCAAGAAAGTGATTATCTTTTAGTAGTGAAGTATATGCATGTGTGTTTGCTTGTAAACCTTCTTGCTTAAAGATAGTGGAAAAATCTTAATCAGGTGGTGATTAAGGACTGGATGTAGGTCACATGTGGAGTGGCTGAACCAGTATAAAAGACTTGTGCAATCTTCTTCAACCTTATCTCTTGTTTTGTAATTTCTTGATTGAGTTTTAAGGAAGATAAAATTTGATTAACAAGTGAATGTAATTCTTGATGTTTTAAATCTGTAAATTGAACATTGTTGATGAACCTCATGATGTTGTAATCAAGTTAGCATATTGCATTCATATTATCATAACAAGTCTTGAGAAGTGCTTCAAGTGAGAATTCTGTCATAGAAAAGTTTGTAATTGAAAGTGAAGATCCAAAAACTCTGATAAATTTTTAAAGGGTCATTGAATCCAATTCACCCCCCCTCTTGGATTAGGCCATTCTTTTCTAACAGCCTGGTCATCATCCTGTCCGGGGTGCTCCATCCTCCTCAGCAGCATCAAAAGTAGCTCCACCTCCCCCAAAGAAAGGAGCCTGGTCCCCAGCCAACTAGTATAGGCATGATAATCAGCTGTGGACGGGAACTGGTAGCCAGAGCGGAGTGTAGAGAGAAAATCCTGAAGGCATCCAAGATAAACATCTGCCCGCGGTGGAGGGACTCCTGTTGCTGCATGAATGCGTCCATCCTGCCCTTCTGCCTCTGCATAAAAGCATCCATCCGACCCTCCTGCCTTTGCATGAAGCTGTCCATGCGGCCCTCCAGTGCGTCAAAGCGCTGATGGATAGTGAGGGGAGGGCCTGAGGCAGGAGCCTCATCCATAGGTACGTCCTCTTGAGGCCCAGCAGCATGAATGGGCTCTGGGGCAGGCACGACCGGTGGTGCGCGGTCCTGGAAATAGGCAGAGATGTATCTACTATCAATGGCCCGGCCAGGACCCTCAAATGGCAGAGAGTGGACATCCACGCCTGCGAGCTGGCATAACTGTGTGATGAGCGAAGGATGTCCAAGGGCAGAGGAAGGAGCAGAGTTGGCGCAGCCCGAGATCTCCATACAAATGATGCTGCCCAAGTCCACGGTCCTCTCTGTCATGATGCAGTACATGAGCATGGCCCGGGTCCAGTGCAGGTCGGAGACATGTGAGCACGGGAGGATGTTGGCATGCACCAATGCAGACCAAATCCCGACCACTAAAAGGAGATCCCGACGCTTCACGTGGAGAGGCTGTTGAGATCGGTTCCTGTGGAACCCAAGTCCAGGCATGCAGATGGCAGCCTCTACCACTGCAGGGTCCATCGTGTCAGTTTAGTAGTTGCCATACTCAGACTCCTCATCAGCCCTCAACGTAGTCCCCAGAAACTGATTAATCGTCGTGGCATCATAGGGGACTCACACACCCCTGACATAGCTAGTAAATGGCACAATGCCCTCATCTGATCTCAGGGCATTGGCATAAAACTCCTTAACCACAGCTATGTTGATCGGGAGTGGGTAGGAGCCAAGCTTGTCCCACCGGCGCCTGTGTAACTCCGTCTAGAACTCCGGGGCCTCATTTTCTTCTAACTCAACCCGCCTCTCCAGAATAAACTTCCTGCTACTGATAGACTCAAAATGGGTCTCATTCCGCTTGGTGAGGAAGAGGTTGGAATAGGGTCGACTTGGCTTGCGGGGAGGTTGACCCGATTGGCCAGCACGGGGGCGCTTGCTTGAGGAGGTCATCTGCAAAAATTAACCAAAGAAATTCCAGGCAGACAGATAAGCATAATACAGTAAACAGGGATGACCAGTTAAGGTAAAGCACAATGAAAGCTAACCTTAGACCATAAGCTAAACAGACATAGAAAAAAAAAATTAAAACACAGCACACAAGGGTTTCAGGGGTGTATGGCGTCGGGCGTGAAACATGTATGCCGAGCGCAGAGAGCAGATAACTCTCTCTGAAAGCAAATGCATCGGGCGCAAAACATAATTGCGCCGGGCTCAGAGAGTAGAGAGGACTCTCTAGAACCAAATGCGCCGGGCGTAAAAAGGAATTGCGCCGGGCGCAAGCAAACTTTTGAAAGTTGGTCCAGAAAGGGCTGTTCCAAGATCAGAACGGGCCGTTCTTAAGTTTGAAACAGGCCATTCTAGAATTGGAACAGTCCGTTCCAAAGTTCGAAACGGGTCGTTCTGCCTTTGGAACAGGCCGTTTCGAAGCTTAACCAGTAGGTTCATCGCGCCTGGCATGATTGCACCCCAATTTGGGTTCACCGAAACCCCATGGAAACCCAAAAATAAGAAAAAAAAATGAAGAACTAGTTATAAAAGAAAAGGAAATACTGAGTGTGAACACCTACTTGAGTTCGGAGTGCTTGGAGGAAAAAGAAGTCGCGTGCCCTTAGGGAAGAAGATGAGTGGGGGGGGGTGAGGAAGAGGGTTCGAGGCGCGTAGGGAGAGTAGGAGTTGAGATTGTGAGAGTGAGTTGAGAGAGGCGAGAAGCGTGAGAGGAGGGAAGAGGGCTTTTTGGGAGATGAGAAGTTGAGGGAAAAGAGAGAGTGGGAGAGGAGTTTGCGTGAGTGTGGGAGGTTGCAGAGAAGAGAGTGGGCAGTTGAGAGAGTTTGAGTTAGTGGGAAAGTGAAGAAAGAAGAGTGGGAAATGTGGGTTAAGGTATTTGAAGGGTCATATCAGTAGAAGCCCAAAGGTTACCCTAATCTGGTGTGGCGCTGGGCGCTACCATTTAGCGCCGGAGTAAAGCCATAATACAAGAAATTTAAAGAGCTGCATGACATAACAATGATGATAGACAGTAGTCATAAAGTCTTTAGACAGTGTAGTGTCCGTTCATTGCATCAATGTCCAAACCCCTTAGCTTGGCAAATGATTCCACTCTGCCTTTCAGAGTGTGAAGCTCTCTCAGCCTGCATCAAAAGGAAGAAAAATAGTAATAAGGGGGAAAAGAAAAATCATGAAAAGGTTAAATCAAATGAAGAAACAGTTTGAAGATGAACAAAGACTCTGACCTTGCTATCTCTGCTCGCCTCCTAGCCTCTTCTGCCAATGTATTAATTTCTCTGAAGGTGTGGTGCTTCTCTGTCATCCCTTTTGACTCAACAGAGTGGAGGCCATGTAAGGTTCTCTGCTCAGTAGCCCATGCAGCCTCACGAGCTTCTCTACCGAAGTCATTTTTGTTGATGAATGCAGTCTGTTAATTTGCACAAACAAGAAGTCATATAACTATACGAGTATACTAATCATTGTATGAGTCTCATGGACTATATAATAAACCATCTGGCATACTTATATTTTGAACCCATTTCATGTTAGACATAACTGTTTGGATAAATTTATCTAAAAAACACTTCTAAGAAGGAAAAAAAAAGTAGGAAGGATAAATGAACTACATTTCTTCATAAATTGGCTTATGCATAAGCTAATTTGTTGAAGCTCTCCTATATAGCTTTTCCAAAATATTATAAATAAATTTATAAAAAGTTTATTTCATTTTTCCTTCATATTTTTCCCTCCCAAAAATGTTTCTAGAGAAATTTATCCAAAAAGGTCCAAGTTCATTTATTTTCTGCACAATTTTTTGCTGAAATTTATAACAGGTTTAGTCATGGTACTCACTCTTTGGTCTACCACCAGATTCCAAGCCCTTCCACTTAATGCATAGCGAACTGCAAACTTTAAAGGATCTAGAAATAGGTAAGTTACAATATTGTATAGCCAAATCACTCCTGTCCAGCCCCAACCAATACGTGTGATCCCAGCAACTTTCCAAGTGAGAGTGGCAGATATAACAGTTGCAATCTGTTGAGAATACACAGTGAAATGTAATAGTGAGGCTTTCCACTGAGCAAGTGCAAATAGTTTTAGAGGTCTGAATAAGTAATGCAGGAAAGGTTGAGAAAACCATATACCGCTTGAGCAATGATGAAGGCAGTGACAAGCAAAAGACCAGGTCTTTCTGTGTAGGACCAACCCCTTGATCGTGTCACGAAAATTAAGGCTTGACTAATTGTACTAACTTGAAGATAGACAGCAGATCCCAACATTGTATTCGTTGGATCACCGTTAGGAGCTTCTGGATCATAGTGAAAGTGTTTCACACCAAAATGGTTCTGTGGCAGAATTAATAATTCATTGTCATATCATTGCATGAAAGAAAAAGAAAGTAGTGGACAACTTGAAAGAAGATACTCACAGGAAAGAAATTTGTTTCGACAGCTATATAGAAGAAGATCACAGTCATTAGAGTCAGATAGCTACCAAGAACAATCCCAGTTGTAAAAATTTCACTAAGCTTCCAACTATCAGGAACTGGAGAAGGCTTAACCCTATCTTTAGATATTGTCATGATGGTACCTACAAGGATGCTAACAAATTAGGGGACAAGAAAGAAAGTATTTCATCTAATGGCCATCAAATTATAATGAGACTTGAGATTAAGTTACTAGAAAGTAGCTAATATTACCATCATTGAGAATGGCAATGACAAGAACCATAAAGGGAGGAAAGTCAAATTTCCAAAAGCTGTTCAGTAACATGAAACCAAGCTGAAATGATAAAAAAAAAAAAAAAAGAGATTCAAAATTAGAAGAAGGCTGATTATCAGGATCATTCTGAATATATTCTTCATGTACAAAAAGCTTACCACAATACGAATAGTGATAGATATAGCATATATCTGCAAAGGAAAAGGAATGAAAAAATCATGATTTGTTGTCCCGCTAAAAAAAAGAGCGTTGATGATACTTTCTCTAATACTTTTTTCTATCATTCTTTTTTATTAGTTAAAATTTATTGAAAATCACGAATTTTGTAGATTCGAAATCATTTAATGAGTTTCTCTCTTAATTTAGTGATAAGACCTATTAACATTTGTGATTTTTAATCAATCCTCAAGAATGCTAATAAGAGAGTGATAGAGTGAGTGTCAAATTTCTCAAAAACAACTATTTACACTTTCATATGTCGACAGGAGTAGATGGATTACAGTGTAATTTTTCATTCTCTGGAAAATTGCACGGCTAGTTAAAACTGCACTTATGATCACACTCAACCCAGGTTCTGTTAGGACTATGTCAGAAGCACTTCTGGCAGCATCTGTAGCATCTGCTACAGCAATACCAATGTCTGCTATCTTTAGGGCAGGTGCATCATTCACCCCATCACCAGTCATCCCACAAATGTGCTTTCTAACTTGTAACCTCTTCACAATCTCATACTTGTGCTCTGAGGGAAACACAGATGATCAAAAAGGGAACAAGACATTAAATTAGAGCTCGCTAGTCCCTAATGATAACCTCTTTCTTGGCTTACCAGGAAAGACTCCAGCAAAACCATCAACATTCTCAATGAGATCATCAACGGCAACAGCGCCCAATCCATCTTTATTTTCACCCAGCAGTGATGAAGAAGGATACATGTTGGTGCCCATCCCTAGACGTCTTCCTGTTTCCTTACCTATTGCAAGTTGATCACCTGAAAGGTTGTTTTTTGTTGCATCATAATATGAGCATCTGATCAGAGTTTTCTTATGTACATTAGAATTAAATTAGTGATTCCAAGAACACAAGGACAAGTTTATTATATATAGAGGTACAATCTCTCACTAATGGACAAAAACTAGCAAAAACTTTTTCATATGTTCGCTAATACCCAATGAGATAGGTCTTGCTATAGAAAAAAAAAATTTCAGGGTGTTCGAAATGTAGCTAAATGTCATGTTAAGTCATCCAATTTTAAGTTGATTTGTTTAATGGACTTTCTTCACTTCTCCAATATCTAGGACACATTGTTTTGTATGAATAGTCTAAATAATATCAATTAAAAAATTAATGAAAGCAAGGCTCTAAACTATCTATCAATCTGGTATTGGAAGGTCCTACATTCACATCCTCAATTCTTGATCTGCAAATCATCTATCTGTTGGATAATTTCACTTGATGTCAATTGATTTTAAGGTGAAATCTTTCATATTATCAGAGCCTATAGTTCATATTGGTAAATCACCTATTATGGTAGGCTCATATATTCTGGTAGACATATGTGGAGGGGAGATGTTAGAAGATCCTACATCGCTTGTCTCAATTTTGAAAGTACATTTTATATATTTGTTGAGTAATTTCACTTAATATCATTTTGTTTTAAGATGAAATCAAATATGTCAACAATTAGGATTATTCTAGTAGTCCTTCTATGCATGAATAAACCTTCTTTAAATACAAACTAGAACTAAGAATAAACTGAATAGTGATAATACAAGAATAAGTTTTCAAAATAGATGGTGACATTTATAATGTTCTTCACTCAACTTATAAATTCACTTGAATCATGCATGGTTTTATGTCTAGAACTTGTTTTTTCAGAGAAACATTTCCATAAAAAAGTTCTTATTGTAAAATGCAACCAAGAAACTTGCAATATCTTAAACGAAATCAAGTAATAGTGACACATACCAGTGATCATTTTGACACTCACGCCAAGATCTAGAGCTCTTCTAATTGTTTCTGCACTATCATGACGAGGAGGATCAAAAAGAGGGAGAAGGCCAACAAACTCCCATGGTCCTCCAGGACTGTCTTTAGTTCCCTCAGGTACTTCCTAAATTGGAGAAAATTTTCATCGTTATAAAAAATAATTTTAATAATTGTACCTATTAAAAACTTTCATACCGCCAATCAATCAAAAATCACTTTGATATAAATTTTAAGGTAGTTATTATAAAACTTAATAAACTTATCATACATAGTGATTTGTGATTGGGTGAGAATATAAAATTATTCTATACTAATGAGATGATGGAGAATTCATTGGACAAACCTGGCGGGCAACTGCAAGAGAACGAAGTCCACGTTCTGCAAACTTCTCAATAATTGCATGAACCCTCTGTTGGATTTCTGATTTGTTATATGCAAGATTGAGAATCTACACAGTATAAGAGTTAAATAATCAGAAAATCTAGTTGGTAACATGGTTCTTAGAGTTAGAATGGATTATCTGCTACCTGCTCTGGTGCACCTTTGCTAACCCTGCGCATTTTACCAGCAGCATCAATGTATGTAAGTGCAGTTCTTTTATCCGTTGGATTGAATGGAAAGAAGTGAACTTCTTGTATTCCGGCTCGTGCCTTGCAAAATTAAAGGACCATTAGTAGACTAACCAAGTTTCAACTACAATCTACAGAAGAAAGTGGAAACTTGCCTTGCAGAATGCTACACTTCGAACAATGAAAATTTCATGTATGTTAACATATAAGCTATCATCTAAAAATTTATAAAAATTATGGAATTCACTGCAGAAAGAAAGGGCAAAAGGCTTTAGTGTTGTTAATCAAATAAGGAATTTTTGGACTTTACCTCCTTTGGGTTTGCCAACATTGAAACTATAGCACAATCAATTGCATCTTGGTTCTCTAGCCTTGATGCTCTTGCAGCCATAAGTACAACCATATCACTGTCCACATCTTTAACAAAAACCTGCCAGATGGTGATAATTGTTGGGAAAAAGAGAGTTAGCATTTGAGATTATGGATGTCATACATAGACAAATACTTAAACACCACCACACATAATTATTTATATGTACTTATATGTGCAGAATTTAATGGTCCCTTGCATGAAAAGGATTTTTTTTTCTATGCTATATCATAAATTTTATGTTGATTATCAATTATTAGCATCGCTATCATTTTCCCATAATATGTCATCATTCATGAAAGCAGGATGTTTCTTTAAGAAATTGAGTACTCTTGTTTCAGGAGTGAAATAGAATAGTTGTCCTTGAAGGATTCTTCCAAGTCATGTACAATACATGACACTTTACATTCTGATTTACCTGTTTCCATACTTTTGGCAGATATGAACTTTATATCAAACCAATTGTTATGTTGAGTTTTATTGTAGGAACTAAGAAGAATAAAGTTAAGACCTCAATGATATTCTTGTCCACAGAAAGCTTGTTAAGAGTTAATGTTCCTGTTTTGTCACTACATAACACATCCATTCCAGCCATCTCTTCAATGGCAGTCATTCTCTTTGTTATGGCACCCTGCAAAGGATGCACCCATTATAGTCATTAGCTCAACTGCAAAATGATATCAAAAACTTAAAAAATACTAAATTCTTATGATATAGCTCAATTGATTGAGCATGGTGTGAGTTGTTGCGAATTCCTTGATATCGAGTTCGATTCCCATAAAAATAAAAAAATACATTGAAATGTTCAAATCAACGTTCTAAGTGTAGCATCACAAACCTGCTGAGCCAACTTGTGTGAACCAATAGCCATTGTAACAGAAAGAACAATTGGCATTGCAATAGGGATGCCTGAATATTTTTTTGCAGGAAAATTCGTAGGAAAATGACTCTTATCTAGTAGTTGTAACATCCCAAATTTTATACAATGGTTAATTATTATATTTATGAAAATTACTTTCCTATAGTTATTAATTAATAAAAAGGGGTCTTTTATGTAGAATATTTTAGAGATTTTAATAATTGATTATTATGTATTTTAAATATTTATGGGGATTATTAAAGAGTATTTTATAATTAAAAATAATAAAATAATATTATGATATTTTGAAGGCTCAGAACGGGCCGTTCTCAAAAGTGGAACAGGCCGTTCTAAATTTCTAAAAAAATATTGTGTTTGTTGGCCCGGAACGGGCCGTTTCAAATTAGTAAAGAGACCTATTTTGAAGGCCCAGAATGGTCGTTCCAAATTTTCAAAGAGAGCTATATTTGTTAGACCAAAATGGGTCATTCCCAAAGCGGTACGAGCTGTTCCAAGCTTAAAAAAATGCCTAAAGATCTTAGTTAGAAACAGGTCGTTCCAGTTATGGTTTTTGTGAGAAAATTTTAACCCCAAAACGGGTCGTTCCAATTATAAATTTTACAGGATGAATGAGTCCAGAATGGGCCGTTCCAGTTTCAGAACGGGCCATTCTGGCCACTCCAAATTTCTATAAATAGG